GTGCTTGCATGCTAAGTCTCTTTATTTCAGGTGGTGGGCTTTCAATTTTGTACTAATACTTTTCTTTCTCAAATAAATGTTCACCTGTACGCTCTTCCATAAACCTGCACAACTCGCTTAAGCCAATTGTAGTTACTTTTGATAACATTTTTGCGTTTGTGTCATTTCCGTAAAATATGCTTCCTGAACCCTTGCAATTATCTCGGATCCTTTGTTAACAACTTATTTCATATGCTCATTCATTTAAGATTTTTGTCACGTTTCCTTATGCATTACTCGATTTCTTTTCTTTGTTAGCTTTCTCTCAAGTGATTGGCTGTTGCTTGATATCCCCGGTGTGGCTGCGCTTGATGTGCATGTGGACAAGGTGCCTACCTGTCTATTACCCACTAGTTCGTCCATACTGGCTCCCGGAGACAGTTGATCGTTGCTGGAAGGAACGGCGTGAACGGTCTTTGTGGCCGTGTTGTGCTCGAAGAGTGGTTCTATGCACTCAGTGTGGAGCGGACTACGGTCCAGCCACCGCCTTGTGGGCGCTTGATTCCCGAATACAGCCTGCTTGTGTTTGCCATTGAAAGATTGTGTACGGGCTCCGTTGATGAAACGTGGCTCCCATCCACATGCCTCCCGGTCTTATTCCTTCGGGTTTACACTGGATATGGGGTATGTGGATGGAGCTGTGCGTGGTGCAGAGCAAACCACCCATGGTCCCTCTGTAAGCGCAGGCGTCCTGTGGCTGGCCACAGTGACAGGCAAATCCGAAACCGGATGCCGCCAACTATATATATAATGCTCTGTAAATTACCAGAGTTATACGGGAGAATGATCTGCATGAAGCACCTAGCAACCTGTTGGTGGGCGTGACCTTCGGAGTGTCCTGAGAAGTTCTAAGGTCATGTGACCCATGGATCTGCAAACTCTTCTCGCGCGTTACATTCTTATGAAGATACCGACCAATATGGTGTGCATCGAAGGAATCTGGGTTACCGGGGGAACGGCACATTTGTCGCGGTTTACGGCTAGTTGCCATTTGATAGACCATTCGTGCAACTGGTCTAGCGCCTTTTGAAGTCTGTCAGCGTTCTCAAGGCTGAATACTTCTTGTCATTGTCTAAGCTCATCAGCGTAGACTAAGCAGTCGGCTCGAAGAGCTGAGGTGTGATCACTAATATAGAGGTTGAGACGTTCTGGCCCAAGGAAATAGCCTTATGGGGTGCCGCTAATCATACACGCAGGGTCGGACAGCTTTCGGTGTACCTTTACTTTACGATTTCGATTTCTCAAGAAGTCTGCAATCCATGAACAGAGATTTCTGGTGATGCTAATTTCCTGGCGTTTAAGAAGAAGTCGTTTGTATGGGACTATATCTAACGCCTTGCTGAAGTCAACGTAGACAACACCAGGTGTCTCCGATCATCTACTGCTTTAACTCCTGCTTCGCTGACAGCAAGCGTGTTAGAAATGCAGGAGCGTGCTCTTACTGTTTACAGACGTCCGGCACATCGATTAATAATTCGCAGGATCGTGCCTGTTATCTCCATTGTATTTGGGCATTAGGTTCCATAATTTCCAGTCTGGTGGTAGGCACCCGTCTGCAAGCAAGCACCAGAAAACTTGCAGCATTGGATCCGCAATATATTCCGCTACCGGCATAACGGGTGAAGTCCATCAGGACCCGATGCGGAGTTTAGATTCAGTTCGTAAAGGAGTCACCTGCTGCATTTCGACTTGGTAGGGAGGAGGATAATGCGTTGAAAGGTCGCCAACGAGCAACAACAGTTCCGCGTAATAGATCGAGGAGTACTGTGAGGCTAATAGATGTGCCTTCTCGTCATCTTCGTAGAGCACTGTCTTCCTCATGGCAGGATAGAGCGGGAATACAACTACCCGCCTTAGTGTTTTACTTCAAGTACGAGAACAGTTCCTTCAGACAGCTTCGTGATTGCGTGACCAGGTCCTGCTCATATTCTGCCGGTTCCTGGCACCTTTTAGAGTACATAAGTTTCTGGTCACCTTGTACTTCAAGTGTCTGAGGTTGCTTGAGTTGACTTGTATACGTCCCACAGTTTGCGTCATCGGTTCATCAGAGACCTCGCCTCTCCATCAATACAAGAGTGGCCTTTATGGAAAGGCCTGCCTTTAGCCGTAGAAAAAGCTTTTTCGATGACCGACATCATCTTCGGGCGTAGTAAGTTCCATGCTTCGTCAAGGTTCAGGGATTGTGGGATGTCCCCTTTTGGGGGTGCTTGCAGCTTCTTGAAATCTGGATGGGACAACACACCAAAAGTTTCGACGAGGTGTCCCCTGGTCATTGATGGTAAGACGGCATGCCCAAACGAAGGAGCCTGTACAGCGTTCACTCCGGCCCACTACTTGAAAAATCTTCGTGCCGTAGACATCAGAGAGCGCCCGTGTGAGGACGAGGTCAAGAATATTTTGTGTTTGACCCAGCATCATCCGCGTTTATCTTGAGACATACTGAATCAGAGTACATTTGTGAGCAAGATCGTGAAGGCCATCCTCGAAGGAATCTTGGTGAAAATCACAATGAAGGGAGTTCCAGTCGACAATGAGTGCATGGAAGTCGCCCGTGAGCAAACAGTTCCTGTCTCTACCATCAGTTTTAACTGACTGTGATAAGCGGACGCCTGAGCTCAGTGTGGCTCTGTAGGCCACCTCGATCGTGTGTAGTTGATGGCTATCATGAACCCGGCAACACAATATTACTCACAGTCTGTG